CATAGGAACAATCATTCAGCTGGTGTCTCTGTTCCACAGCGTGGCCTAATCATTCCGTTAAATGACGAACGAACGAGAAGACAGACATCCAGGCAACAGAAAGACAGATTGTCAAAGGAAAAGAACAATAAAGATCATTGTGTTATAAACACAGCTGTGGAAATTCAATGGACTCTTCCACGTGTGATTTCATTTTGAGGATACCGTTAAGAAAATGCTATGCCTAGTGGAAATAAAAATAGAAAAAAGAAAGAAACGAGGGAGAAGGTGTTACAGTACTAATAAAGCAGTCCTGTACTCAGTTACCTGAAAGAGGCAAGACAATAGTGCTCTGATCGAGCAAACGAGCTCACCAGAACACCTTCCACTTGAGCTGAGAACCTGTGCCATTAAAATGAATGGAATAAGCATCTAGCCCACTACTCAAGTTCCCACTCTGGGGTCCTGCTGCTGCCCCTACCTCTCTGCTTAGCCCCTGAATGGCTGCTTTCCAGGCTTCCGGCCTCCTTCCGAGTCTCACCTCTAGAACACAGACACGCCTTCTGAGAGAGCTCAAAGACGGCTGTCGTGCTCCCCTCCCACCTCCGTATTAATAATGCCAGTCATGTCTTCATCTTGGCCAGACTGTTGCAGCTTCCTAGTCACCTACCCCAGGGGCCAATGAACCTTCACCTCACTATCAACAAGCCTCCTGAACTCAACATGTCCAACGTGGAATGCTTCACTTGCACCGGCCACTGACTGCTGAGCCCCAAACTCCCAGGCCATCCCAGAGGCCCCGGGTCCTGCTCTTCCCTCCCCTCATCTACTTCTGTGACACCACAGCAGCCCGGGCCTCCTCTGCTCCACTGCAGACCCCACGACTGTATCCAGCCTAGCCACTCTCTCCAGCTCCTCCGTCTCCACTGCCATAGAGAGGATCTTTCCTGAAGTGTGAACTGGATTGCATTTCTGACTTCAAAGCCTCCAAGCTCCCCACCGCTCCCCCTCCCTCCTACTCCCACATGCAGCCTATGAGCTAAAGTCCAGTTCTTTTCTCTAAATTGCATTTAGGGCCAACTTCTCTATTCCCATCTCCTCTGCAGCCATGCAGTGCCCCCTATGCTCCCATACCTGGCAGGCTGTTCCACACCTCTCTGCCTTCACACTTGGTGCCAGGAATCAGCTACCACATCTGCCCAAATGCCTCCTCATGCTGGCTTCTGTGGCGCCCCTGGCGTGACTGGAGTCACGCTTGATTTCTTTCCTCACACGATTCACAGCACAATGTAGGTTCTCAAAAATATACTGAGTCCTTCTCCAACGAACTCAAACTATGATACAGACTCACACTAAAGGTACTAAACTCCCGGCTTCTGCGACCCTCCAGATCGCAGAACCGCAATGCATTCAAGGCAGAATGCCGGCTACAAACTATTTGTTTGAAAGCTTTATTGAAATTTTTTCACCTAGCATGTTTCCCTTGGATATCTTGATAATGAATATGCGACTTACGTTGGCTAGCAGTATTCTTTTTAGGCCAGATTTTAGGATCTTAGGTTAATGATGCATTGCATTTTCCGACTACCTAGCACATACAAGACCTGTACTGGACTAGTCATAAGTTACAAAGCAAAATAACAGGTTGGTATCATCAGAGGTTAGCGTCTCAGAATCTTGCTTAAAATGTTAACAGCTACCATTTATTGAGCACAGACTATATGCCAAGTGCTTTTCATACCACAATCTTTTCAAATACCTCATAAATAGATAATCAACTCCATCTTCCAAAAGAGAAGACTGGAACTAAGAAGTACACAGTAAATGACTGAGCTGGCATTTGAACCCAGGTCTCTCTGTGACTCAGGTTCCAGTGTTTTCTCTGACATACGACCACCACCACCACCAGCCCCCTGCTGAGCTCACCCACACATCCACCCCTTCTGCCAGCTCCACAGGAGCACTGATCAGGGAGAAGGCTGAAAAACCAAACACCGGATTTATACTCAGTATACTACTGTTGGTACAGCAAACCCAGACAAAGTCAGACTGAGAACCCAGTCAATAAAACCCACGTGTGTGGCTCAGAAGAAAGACACCAAAATTTTAACCGAAACGATCCTTTTACAGGTGTACTTCATTTCATGTCAAAGATGCAAAGTAAGATTCCATAATACAACCCTCTACATCTTATAACTCTAGAAGTGACCCACTGGCAAAGGCAGCAGAATACTGTGCCGCCATCCGGACAGCTTAAGCAGAATTGGCTAACTGCATAATATTTTTGCAAAATCAAAATTTTTGTTAATACGACACAATCATTACTTCAATTCACTTATTTGCTGTGCTTTGACACAGCAGACCATCCCCTTATTTTCTGATGTAGGTACCGACACAGGAGGACAAGGTATATTAATCCTGGCAGCCAAAATCGATGCTTTCAGTTCATCTATCTTGTTTCAATTTCCATCAGCTACTCTGAAGCAAGCAAATGGAGGCTCTACAGCAGCATCTGAAGAACCAAAGTTAACCGTACTTACCACATTAAGGTTGATATGAGAAGGCCGACGCCTACACAGTCTATGAATACAACCCAAAGGAGCAGCTTTATCGTCTCAAAAAATCCCATGTCCAGCACAAAGCCAAATCCTATAGTGGACACTGAAAGAAAGATTTACAAGATGTATTCAGGCACTCTGCTAGATTCTAGGGGTACAGGGCATGGTCTCTGCCTTTCAGATGCCCACTCTAGTGTGGGAGACAGGTATGTAAACCCCAAAGGGGTGTTAAATGTAACTGATTAAGAAATCCAGACCACCTTGGAACACAGAACTACCACTGAGATATCTGAAGTTTACTGAGGAGGCCCCCATCCGTCTGTGGTTCACCAGGGTAGCCCCAGCATTCAGAACACAGCGGCACTCACACCCTAAAGACGGCTCAGACCCTTTCACTGCACTATTGAACTAAAAGCAGTTTCTCAAGTTCACATTGGCACTTTCAGAACTCTCATTCTGGATTGGCCTGATGGTGAAATGCAATTTCCAACCTCGGGAGTCCTTTTTCACAGTAAGTTTGCATTGGGTATCAATTTATTTATCATGGTAGTTAGAAGACAAGGAGTGACCCTGTCCTCTGCTTTTGAAAGTTCTGAGGAAACAGTTGACTCTGGCACCTGCTTGGGACTTTTAAAATCAGGAAGAATACCACCTTCTTCCCTGTGAGGAGATTTCTGAGGCTTCAGAGAGGAAGAAAACAGCTGCAGAGATCCCCAAATTGTGACCCACAACATGCTGATAACAAAAGATTCTCCAAATGACAAGCCCAACCTGAAACGCTCATTTATTCTTCAACTCTCCTGCAGACAGACACTTACCACAGAGCCAGAGACTTAACAGGACCAAGAAAGCAGGGTCATCTCTGGCCCACTGATCCTTTGTCTGCTTCCGGTAATGGAAGTTTCTATAAACTCTCTGTGGGGAAGTGAACAGGTAGAGCATCTGCCAGGCAGCAAAGTCAAAGTCCATCTGCCGGAAACGAAAAAGCCTCCTCAGGTATTTGTAGCGTTTTGCTCCAGCTGTGTGTCTGGCCGCATCCCTGGAACTCAATACCCCGTTCCCCTGCACTGGGGAATTCACTGAAGTACTCGGTAACATCTTCCTAGATGGACGAAGAAAAAAAAATTCTATTCCAAGTCATCGAAGAAACTGTCAGCTACTAGCACCCCTCTTGTGAGTTATGAGAGAAGTCACCTTACATGTCGGCTCCAATCCCTGCGTAGAGGCAGGGCTCAAAAGCGAGTGGAGTTGGTTCTGAGGCTGCAGAAATGATCACTGCACTTCAGGCAAGGGCTACCCCACGCCCTTCTGAACCTTCATAATAACACTTTCATAGGGTCCACATTTTCCCCACACTTCACTTCCCTCAATCCTCAGCTTCCCCCTTCCTCCCCACTCCCCGGCAGGAGCAGTGGTACTGCTGGAGCCAAAATTTGCACTCAGGCAGTCTGGCTCAAAACTCCACCTGTCATGTGGGCTCTCGACCATCAAGACTTTAAGAGAAAGCCTTTGCTGAAGCCAAACTGAAACGATGTTCCCGACGAGGTAAAATAAATGGCCTATCTCACAGGTCCATCAGCGCATGGCCAGCAAGCAACTCGTTCGTGACTATGTGATGTAAAAACAAAGCAGAACTCAAATGCAGTGTTTTACTTCCTGACTAGCTCAGCAGCGGAACGACAGCGTGGGAGTTCCGGTCCAACCAGTCTGAAGCCAGGGGAGCGCCGGTCACCGTCCGGCCCCCACACCCCGCCCCGGCAGCCCAGTGTCTGGCTCCACTCCCCAGGCCTCCTCCGGGACGCCGGCGGCGCTTCCCGGGCCCCACGGCTCCCCGCCGGCCCGGGGCCTCGGGTAGGGCGGCCAGATTTAGCATAAAAACACAGGACGTCCAGTTACAACTGAATCTCAAATACAAGAGTAATTTTTAATATCAGCAGGTTCGAAACACTGCGTGGGACATACGCATACGAAAACATTCTTCGCTGGTATCTGAAATTCAACCGTAACCAGCCCCACTGAATGTGTCTGGCAGCCCCGCCGCAGGCCGAGCACCGAACCCGGGCGAGGTCACTCCAGGGCCGGGTGACGTGGGGCCGCGAGTTGCCGTTGGAAACGGCCCCCGGGCGAGCCCGAGTCGCGCGCAGACAAGGCGGTCGGCAGGCCTCACCTGGAGCCCCGCGGCGGCCTCCACCGGCTCCAAACTGACCCGCCACCGCCGCACAGCTGCCGAGCCCAGCTGCCGCGGGGCCAACTACCCTCCCAACAACGTCGTTGGCGCTGGGGGCGCGGCGCGGCGCGTCACGTGACCCACTTCCGCCGCGCGCTCGGCCTCCCGGGCCCCGTGGTCCGCCCCGCGCCCGCCGGAAGTGGTGGCTGCGGCTTCCGGTTCCGCCCGCCGCGGCGTCGCTGGCGTCCTGTCAAGTAGGGGCCGTCGCGGAGTGGAGCGGGTTTGGATAGCAGCTGGCGGAAGGCACAGTCATGCCCCGCTATTACGAGGACAAGCTGGAGGGCGGCGCGTGCGCGGGCTTGAAGGAGGACCTCGGCGCGTGCCTGCTGCAGTCGGACTGCGTGCTCCAGGTAGCGCGGCCGGGCGCTCGGGTGACCGACGCCCGAAGCGGGGAGGCGGGGCCGGCGGAGGGCTCTCGGCCGGGCCGCGGTGATAGTCAAGAGAAGTGCCTCGGGGTTCGCCGTCCTGGGTGTCGAACGCAGCACCAACTTAATGAATTTGGGCGCATCCACTGTCAGAGCCTCACTTCTCAGGTGGTGTGAAATTGGAGAGAACGGCGCCGCCCCGTTGGGTTTTTGTAAAGGTTAAACCATTTCGGGTCGAGAAACACGGAATGCTGCCACTCTGCTAGGTTCTGGAGGCATAAAGGAGAATAAGAAAGGTTTCTTGAGCCCTAGAAAATAAGAATCAGTAAATTAGCAGGTAATTACATGAACCTGGCACACTGTATTGCCTAGTAAATTCTCCTTTCTGTGTTCAGTGGTGGCTGAATAGATTCTCTGCCTACCCTGTGTTTTTGAACGTGGAATCAGTAAATTAGCAGGTAATTACATGAACCTGGCACACTGTATTGCCTAGTAAATTCTCCTTTCTGTGTTCAGTGGTGGCTGAATAGATTCTCTGCCTACCCTGTGTTGGTTTGAACGTGTTGCTGAGTTGAGTTCTGTGCATTCCTGCGTAAGTTGTAAATGAGGCAGCTCTTTATTTTCACCACTTTGTATCTTGCTCCCCCTACCGTGGATCTTGTGGTTTTTCGTGCTGTGATGGGAGCTATTGCTCTCCTGTTTTTCCCTCACTACAGCCCCAGGTCTTCCCAGGAGCCAATGTGACTGCAGAGAGGTTCAAAGTCGACTGGGGAACCTGGGTTCTGGCCTTGAACCCAACCAAAGCACAAGTACCTTTTCCGCTCACCAAGGCCTGATGAGAGGGCAATCCGTTGGGTGCAATTATTTTTGCATTCGGAGATGTAATTTCAGAAAGTTGCCTTTATTTCAAAGAAAAGACGACTACGCGAAAATGGACATCAACCATGAGGCTATATTTGTGTTTCTGCTGATTCATGTTTTACATTTGGTTCACTGATTTTGGCAAGGGCTGTGTAAGCATTGAGTAAATACTTGTTTTATGAGTAGAGGAGCAAAATGCCTCGGGCACCCAGTGGAGAGCAACTTATTTTGCTTGAGAATTTGGAAACTTCTCACAGGAGGAGATAACATTTGCTCTGAGTCTTAAAGGTTGAGTAGTAGTTTATCAAGTAAAGGAGTGGAGGCTGTAGTGTTTGTGGGGAGAATCTGAAAGAACACGTGCAGAATCATGGAGATGTGGCAGGCCCACGAGAAGCTGGTGCCCTGCTGGGCTGGAGGAAAGGGAATGTGCCAGAAGGCTTGAGAGGACGGTTGCCATGGGTGACAGCCCTTGTGTGTCACAGTGAGCTGCTCCGGCACAGAGTAGGACTGAGGAAAGAAACTCTGGAAGTGGAAGAGAATACTGGTGGCAAGGAGAACACCAAATTGGTTTTTTGCAGTGATTGATTGATTTAGCAAACATTTGAGTGCCAAGTCTGATTGAGGGGACATACAGATGAATGGGACACATTGTAGAAATTGGATCTCTGGGAAGCTCGGAAGGTGTAGGCAGCCGTAATGACCCAGATACATTGCATGGATGTTGCTTTCCCCCACTGAGTATGTGGCCTTTTTGTTGCTGAATTTGGTCAACTAGGAAAACGTGGTGTTTTCATATAAAGAGTCTCTTAAATGGAAGTGCATTGACAGATTGTGTTAAATTCATCCTGAATGGTCACTTCAACTGGACTATAAAATGGCAATACTGAGGCAAAACATTGAGTTATGCAAATCCAGGCGGATATCCTACCTTCTCGGATGGTGTCACTGGCAGCTCTAGCCCACCCCTCCCCACTAGGAACTCAAGACCAAGGGGACTTCTGCTGAGGTATATGCCTGCTGTGTATGGCCACCTCATTTATGATAAGGTTTTTGATTCCTCAGCTCCTTGAGTAAAGAAATTAATCTGATCTTTTGGCAGATGATGCTATAGTCTCTCCTTGCCAATCTTTAACCCACCTGCAAAGCTGCCAGACTTTACTTTAGGGAGGAATTGAACATAAAATACTTAGTTCTGGGGCTGCACTGAGAGATAGCCAAGGAACTGTAGGGGCTCAGAGAAACTCAGGGTAATGGTGAAAAGGATGTAAACTCCAGTGGGGCTGGAGAAGAGAGACAAGGAAAAAGCAGATTCAAAAGGCATCTCTTGGATAAACTTCTTAGGATTCTGACTCCTGGGAGTTGAAACTGTGCCCAAGGAACTCAATTACAAGTTATCTCCCTTGTATCTCTTAACAGCTTCCAGACCTGCTGACTTTTCATCAGAATCACCTGGAGATGGAGGTGCAGAGATTAAAAGTACAGATTCCACTGCTCTCCCCATCTCCCTTGTAAATTAAAAGTGTCTCAGGTTGATTCTTGGACACAGCCATGTTTGGGAATCACCAGTCTTGACCTCAGAAGGCAAATAAGCTTGGGAGTGTCTTAGTTGGGTTATAGGTTCAGACGAATATTACAGAGACCCAGAATAACAGTGGCTTAAAAGAGAGAATTCTCTATCTTGTTTGCCTATAAGTAGGGTCTAGTCTGATCCTCTCTGTCTTCCATGGACCTAAGCACTGTTGATCGGTGGTGTCAGGTGCTGTGATGGGAGTTAGGATGTTACTCTCTCACTCATGGTCCAAGACTGCCTTGCTTCCACATCATCAGGCCTAGTAACATGGGGGAGGAAAGTGGGGCAAGCCACTTTCCATTACAGACCAACCCAGAAGTTTTACATTTCAGTTCCCTGCATATTCCATTGGCTAGAACTTAGTCACATGACCATACCCAGCTGCAAGGTGGCTGGGAAATCTAGCTCAGCCATATGCCCCACTCAAAAGGAAGAGTGAATATTAAGGGGGGAATTAGCAATCTGCCATTAGGGGTGGAGGTGGAGGAAGATGAAGTAATATTTCTCTCGTAAGTGTAGTATCTAGGTGGATCTTCCCAGTAGGCAGTTGGCAGTATGGGTTGAAAGCTTGTGAAAAAGATGGCATCTCAGATACGGTTTGGGGAAGCATCAGTTTATAAATTACAGTATTTTTTTTTTGAAATTATAGTCCCCTTGTTTTTATTTATTTATTTTTTTGAGGTACGTGGACCTCTCACTGTTGTGGCCTCTCCCGTTGCGGAGCACAGGTTCCGGACGTGCAGGCTTGGCGGCCATGGCTCACGGGCCCAGCCGCTCCGCGGCATGTGGGATCTTCCCAGACCGGGGCATGAACCTGTGTCCCCTGCATCAGCAGGCGGACTCCCAACCACTGCGCCACCAGGGAAGCCCCAGTCTTTTGTATAGTTATAGTCTTTTATCTCTATGTTGTTCATGTGGGCAACCTCATTACAGAGTTTGAGGGAGGAACATTATAGTGCAGAGAAGCTTGCTACTCTGTTCTGGTTCACTTTTGAGATTCACTGATGTAGATGACAATTCAAATCTAGAGTCCAACAGACATAAAGACTGGAATGTGGCCAGGATTCCTGGGGATCAGGAATACCATAGATGTGGCACCCTGTAGCTTTTTTCACAGTAAAAACTAGGAGTGTGACTGCAACTTGCAAAATAAAAGTTTTGGAGAGTGATTGCAGTGGTGGAGTCGGGGTGTCAAAATCTGCTTGAGGGGAAATCCTTGATAATGAAGAGCAGGTGAAATTTAAGTTACACCAGAGCTTTCTACTTAAGTAGTACTCTAGCCGACCTCATTAACATCTTTCTGAAATGTTGAGAACCAGCACTAAAGCTGTTCAGATTTTAGGGCACCTAATTGGGGCTGTTTGAGCTTTTAAAGTTAACATGGAACAGGGTCATTTTTACTCTCAGACAAAATTGCTTGATTCATTTTGCATTGGAATTCACTTCGAGTTGGAAGATTTCACGATCTTCCTTTATATCGTGAAGCACTGCATAAAGCTAAAGTTTATGACCAGTATATGTTTTATTTATTTATTATTTCTTTAACAGTAATAAAATGTAAGGTTTTGATTTTTTTCCCTCGTGAATTGCAAGTTAGTTTAATGTCATTAAACCTCAGGTGATTCAGAAAATTCAAGTTCAGTCTCCTTTTTCCAGATGTTGTTTTATGCATTTACAGTCCTGGGAAACGGGAACCCCCTCAGCACGTTTCCCTGCCTCCTCCCCCTCCCCCCTCCCCATTACCTCCCCCACTTTGTGACTTGCTCACACTGCCAGTGAACATTAGCATGTGTATATCTTCTCCTACCTGCTGTTTGAAGCTCTGTGTAGACAGGAATATCTTGTATTTACTTTTTAACCTCCTGCTAAACTGATGTAGGACAGTTCTGAATTTTTTTTTTTAATAAATTAGTCCCTGTGAGTGTTTAGTTACTAGATAAATTAGTAGGGTAGGGGGTTCAAAAAGAAATTTTGCAGTGGTTAAATTTTAATCTTGCTTCTCTGAGTTGTGAAATACACTTTCTGTAGATGCTTTTGTGTCTAATATATTTAAGTGCCTTTGTGTTCAATTTATGGCAGTAAATTTGTTCAAAATATTTTAAGATAATGAAGATATGATAATGAAGTCATTTCTATCCCATGTTTACCTACTAAAATACTACTAAATTTTAGCTCTTAATCTAGTTTTGTAGTTACTTTGTCAAGTGTGATTTTTAAAGTCTTATTTGTTAAGAGTCAGAAATAAGCCCTTCCCTTGTGAATGTGTTCTTATAGCACTGTCCTTTCTTGATGGCAGAAAGGGAATGGTTTAATCCATTTTTCTTAAGCTCTTATGAGCTTTCACTGCTTAAAGACCAGTTAATTTCACACTGGACCCAGGCAGATCTTCCCTTCCAAGTATATATAAATTCTGTTAAAATCTCACTCTCCTCTTCAAATTCTTACTCAGTGGGCTTCTCAGAATAGAGAGCTTGACTGTGGCTGTAGGGGGTGGGAAAACACAGAGATGTGTTGGAGGTAAACTTGCTTGCATTAAAATGATATTGTAATTGGAGACTTTAAAGCCACTTGATACTACCTTCCAGAACAAACCCTCCCATTCACCACTACAGCATTCCTGATCTCTCACGTGCACACCCTCCCTCCCTCCCTCCCTCTCTCCCCCCCTTCCTCCCCTTTCTCTCCCCCTTCCTCCCTCTCTCTCTCTCCCTCCCTCTCCCCGCTTTCTCTCTCTCCCTCCCTCTCTCTCCCCCTTCCTCTCTCCCCCCCTTCCTCCCTCTCTCTCCCTCTCTCTCTCTCTGTGTCACACACACTACTTTCTTCTCTGTCTTTAGGACTTCTTGAGTGTGAAAGTTTTAAAAACCCTGAAGAAACCCTGTTACTACTTTCACCTTTACTCT